TCTCCCTCCTTTTCACTTTCACGGTAATCATTGTATTCTATCTATCTCCATATTTTATTTTTCAATTTTTTATATTAAGATATTTGATTATAACCTAGTAAGACGTTATAGTACGTTATAGTCATAACTAATTAGTCATATCTCCCTCTTTTTTGGTTTAGATCCCACGACTATTCTACCATAGTAACATGATATATATACATTACACATCCGTAATATTTTTTATACTGAATTGAAGCAATCATTTGTTATATAATTCAATTATATTGTTCAAAACTAAATGATATCATGTGTCGTTGTAAATACACTGCCACGAATATGTCAAATGAATAATGACTCAGTCACAATGAATCCAGTTTTTAAAATTCTGATGACCTTTTAAATCTAATGGAGTTGATTTCAACTTATACAATCAATAACACCTCCGGTTTTTAAAATTATCATGTGTCGTGATGAAAGTCCAACAATATCCAACGCCTAATTTATTCCAAAAAAATATATTAAGAAATTACGCATTATAAGTTTAACTTATATTTTCTCGATCCCGTTAATTTTAAGTTTCACATGTGTGAATTGCTTTTGAGAAGGTATTATTATATTATATTTTCAGTAACACTTCAACGATTAATATCATACTAATTTTATGTTCGTTTTTATTTTTAGTTTAGAAAACGTCTATAAAGTTCTAAACATATACATGCAAACTCGTATATGCTATTTTTTTTTCTCTTTTCCTTTCTATATTAATTGGAAATAAAATGAGTCGTAGTTTTTGAATAAGGATTTTTATTCAAATTTAGAAAATAAGTCAATTTTTTAAATTCACTTATACCTTCATTTCTTTGTTAACTCATGGGTTCGTTCAAATCCATGTTGTATATGTTATTAATGATATTTTCAGCATTCATAACTATTTGTTTGGATATATTTCTAATTTTCTTTTAGGTTTTGTGTTTTGTATTGAAGAACATTATTCATGTTATATAGGCAAAAAAAAATCAATTCTTTTAACGAATATGACAAACTATTTTCCAAAATGATTATTTTTGTATGAGTCGTTACACTTCATTGATGACTCATGTGTTCGTTCAAAATCATGTTGTACATGTTTTTGATGATCTTTTCAGCATTAATAACTACTAGATTTACTCGCCCGCGCGTTGCGCGGGATATCAAATTTCAACTGGGTATAATACAAAATGTTAAGAATAATCATAATCATTTGAATTTTAAAAACTATATATATTCATACTTGTTTTACAACATAGAAATTATAAAATATATTTGGTAGGTATCGCGTAATAACAAAAGTTATATAAGATGAATCGGTCTCGGTAGTCATCAATAAATTTTTTTTATCAAAAAAGAGAGTTAATTCCATAAACAAATCTTGTAAGTATAACTGTCTTGATGTTTTGACCTATTCGTACCTCATACTAAAAGTAAATGTGCTGAGTTTGAACATCAATTTATAAAAATATATAAACGTAATATTCATGCTGATTCAATAGGTTTAGAGAGCATAATTTACCTATTGAACCAAGGCCATCATACCTGAAAGTTTTGACCAAATCATGAATGTCTTAATCTTATCTATCCCACTACGCTTACATAGCTCGACGATTTAACCCGATGTTGAATATGATTGTCTAGTTTACTAAACCAAACTATCCGATAATGCATACATATATCTGATGAATATCGTTTAATCATGTGCATACATATATCCGATGCTTCAAGCATTACTCAATTTCTCTTCAAATATTTTTCGTCATCTTCTATGATGCACTTGTTCGCTTCCCAACATCTACTATTTTTTATCTTCTATGCTCACTTTAATAAAACTTTAAATTGATTCTTAACTGAAAACTATTTCCTCATTTTCATCTTTTTAGTTTATTTTCTTTTATTAATTATATGGTTTTCATACTTCAACGTAATATAATTTTACGAAAGATATATATTTGTTAAAATTTCCTCAACAGAACTTATTTAGAATTTTACCTATATTTAAACATATTCACAAAAAAAAAATAAATAAATAAATAAACATATTCACCTTTTTATTTAGAAAGCAAACAATAATATAGATATAAATGTATTAGTTTCATTGTTATATTTTACTATAATTTAATATTAAGATACAATTAATTTTTATATTTTTTCGTCAATGTGAATTTATACTATTACTCTCACTAATTTCTTCCATCTTAAGTCAAATATCTCAATCATGCAAATTCATTTACTCTATTTTGTTACCGACGCACCATATTCACATCAAATAAACTCAACGTGTGTACTCACTACAGGAAATGAGTGTATTAATAGCAGTATTGTATAGCGTTTTTAATGTTTCTGCTATAGTTGAGTTTTGAGAAAATTTACATAGCGTTTTAAAACAGGAAAACGCTATAGTAGGATGAGCGCGAAAATATTTCGTATTGACGCTTACTTTTTAGTTTTATGATAGCATAAATGATATAGAAAACGTTATCGTAGTGGTAACCGGGAAACTGAAAATTTTACTTCGCTCCAAAATACTAAGTATCAAAAAAATAAAAAAAATAAAAGAGAAAAACGAGAAATAGAACAGATCTACAACTCGTCCAACACTTAAACATGTGTTCTTCCCCTTATGCTCTCTCTTTCTCTTTTCCTCTCTCTTTCGACATGTGTTCTTACCCTTTTGCTTGCTCTTTCTCAATTTTTTCAGTCTCTCCTACTAATCTCACTCTCCGAATCACAAAACCCAGCAATATCCCAGCCATCATCCTCGCTCACCTGAAGAATTCTCATGCGAATGGAGGCGTAAGCCTCACCTTTTGCTAACTTTGACACTCGAGGGGTGGACCGAGAGGAGATGTGATGATGGTTCGCCGGCAAACACCATTGACCTCTTTCAAGAAGCTCAGTCACGTCAAAGGATAAAGGTAAAAGGGGATGTGAACAAGAGGTGACCGAGATGAGTGGACGAACTAGGAACCAGAGAAAAAAGAAAGTTGTACGTAGCTTGCGAGATGATGACTGGATATCCCGACGCCGGCGAGCGTTGGCTCTGCCGGCGTCGGAAAACATGGTTATAGGACTTGTCTCGATTATTGTGCCCGAGAGAGAAACAGATATTTTGTATTGGTTAATACGTGATGACATTGGCTATGATATCTGTTTTAGTTTCTAAAATCTGTGGAAGCTGCTGCTTGATGACTCTTGCAATTGAGAATTCCAGTTCTAGATTAATTTGAGGTTTTGTGATTGTTAGATTAGTTTGAAGTTGAGTATAGACTGTGGGTCTTTTCATAACAATTTTTAAGGAATGTCTCATGTTGTGTGCTTGTCATCTCTCTAAGGACACTGCTTTTATTTAGTATATGTCCTTCTATGCGCAGGTTATACGTACCGACCTCTGGCCTTTCGAACAATTTGTGTCTCTGTTATACCATTGACTCATTAGGCTTGTGTGGATGTTTCAGATTTTAACCTTGTTGGGATTGGTTTCTTTGTTTTATATATATGGATGTTTTGCCTATACAATCTATACTGTAGGAAATGTAAGTCGGACAAGGGTTAAGAGAGTGAGTTCCTTTAGCTAAGAACAAGAGACACTTATTAAGAAACTATACGAGAAGTTAGTGTGAAATTTCGCCTCCTCTGCATAAACTCTTTCTGTGCAACAATTTTATTGACTCTGTTGTTTTTCTACTGTTGTCTATGTGCTGGTTCAAGGACCAATACTAAGAGGAAGATCTGCTTTAGAATTTTTAGCTTTTTTTTTGGTCAAACAGAATTTTAAGCTTTAGATACTTGATTCAATGACTTCTACTCCCCTTCGGTTATGTCTAAATAATGTTTTTGTATCGTTTTAATTTCAAAAGATATTTTCTCTTTTTATATGTCATTGCTAAATAACAGAATTAAACCAACAAATATATGACGTTGCTAAACTACATGTATATATATACTGAATACATAATTATAACTACAAACGTTTAAACATTCATTAGTTAATCATACATAATCAAATTAATCAAATATGATAAAGTTAATGATAAATTTTTGCATTTTATATTGTTAATTGATAAATAGTAAAAATTTAGTTTCAAAATTAAACTCTATACCCTAAACCTTTAAAGGTTAAACATGTTTTACTATTTATCAATTAACAAAATAAATCGCAAAGCAAATAATCAAATGTGATAAAATTTCTAATTATTTTTTTTGCATTTTATTTTGTTAATTGATAAATAGTAAAAATTAAGTTTCAAAATTAAACCCTATACCCTAAATCATATACTCTATACCCTAAACCTTTTAAGGTTCAATATTGAAACATATTTGACTATTTATCAATTAACAAAATAAATCGCAAAACAAATAATCAAATGTGATAAAGTTTCTAATAATTTTTTTGCATTTTATTTTGTTAATTGATAAATAGTAAAAATATGTTTCAAAAAATTAAACCCTAAATCTCATACCCTAAATCCTTTACCCTAAACCCTAAACCCTTAGTGCTCAGTATTGAAACATATTTTAGTATTTATCATAAACAAAATGAAATGCAAAAATATATGATGTAATACTAAGTACATAATATAGCAAAATTGAAAACATATTACAATATACAAATTAACAAATAAGAATCGGTTTAAATTAACAAATAGCTTTCATCTATATATATTTATTATACTACTATTTGTGTTTAATAGTTTTATTTTTAAAACTCTTTTTAACTCTAACTAAGTTTAAATCTTAGTTAAAAATGTATTCTCATAACTATAAAATATTTTCCATTTAAACATAGTATTTAGTTATATTTAATCTGTTTAAAATGGTATAAGAAAATAAACAAGAGCAGAGCCAATAGAAAGAGATTACTCGGATAGCTGACGTGGCGTATTATCACATTGTTTCTAATATGAACCGTTGATTAAAATGAATCTAACGGACACAAATTTAACCCTTTTTTAATCCACTCTTTTAACTTCTTCTTCTCCTCCTCATTATCCTCTAAGTCGTCTCTTTCATCTTCTTCTTCTTCAATAGAAGCCCTACCTAGAACCAAAAGGCAACAAAAATCTTCTACCAACACGAGCCACTTCCTTCGCGAGAAACCCTTGCCGCAGAAGTCACCGGTAAAGTCTCATATCTCGATGGGATTCGACCAACCCACACCGCAGCCACCTTCTTGAACGAAACACAAGCGACGAATCCCCCGTGACCACCGTTGACCGGAGCAAACCTAGATTTTATTATCTCTCTTGAAGTGAGGAATGAAACTACAGATTGTTTTCACCATTTGCTGCTTCTAGATCTGGTAAAGAAAGATTTGTCTTCTCTTCATTTTAGTTTAACCACACAAAATTCAATTTTGTATTCAGGATTTTTCGAAATAATCATTGACCAATAAACAGATGGAAGCTGCGTGGGGAAGAAATACGTTGCGTTTGTTGCAGATCCTCTAAAACCATTTGCAGAAGATTCGATTCGTGTTATTTCGGTAGATAGCTGATCGAGTAAGATTCAATCGTTTGTCTAATCTTCTTTTCTAAGCAGATTGTGTGAATCAATTTTTGTATATGATTGGGACTGTTATTTTCTGTGGTTCAATGTGTTTGATTTGTATTTGGCTAAGAATCTAATTACTTTTGGTGGTTGATTATGTAGCAAAAACTAGTTTTATCTTGAGACATCTTACTAGGTAGATGGTAAGATTGAGAAGAAGCGTGAACATCAAAGAGTGCAAAGCCTCGAGAAGTTTAAATATAAGAGTTTTATTAGTTTATCTTTACGATGTACATTTACTTTTTAATTAATTTTGTAATTTACTTTGTAATCTAATTTTTCTGTATTATAATTCCATATATTATAATAAAATATGTATTTTAATATGTTAATCTATCCAAAAACCTAATCAATTATAAATTATATATAATTAAAATTCATTAAACCAAAATAATGTATATAACATGTACAAATACTGTATAAATACATCTGACCAAAAAAAAATATACTGTATAAATACACAAAAGTATTACGAAGTGCTATAATAAACCATGCTATAAATAAACTATTCAGTAACAAAACTAAACTGCTATTGAATACTATACAATTGCATATAAAGAAACGCTATTATTAAATTAGTAATAATAGCAATCCGAAAAAACGCTATCGAAAAGGGCAGACCTATTATCGCGGGCGATGACATAGCGTTTTCTATAACGCTGTCGTTTTTTACAATAGCGTTTTTCTGATGTTATTAATACCCGATTTTCTTGTAGTGACTGTGTACTATTTTGTAGCAGGCTAGCAGAGTAATTATTATGTGGAATCAAAATAACTTTGAATGATTGAGCTTTGAATGAGAGAGTGAATATTTGACGGTTCATGGTGCGTGACCGATGAAATGCTTTTCACTTCCCATTCACAAAAATAATTAACAATCCCTTGTAAATGTCAGATTTTTTTTTCCTTCACTTGTTCTTTTAAAAAAAAACATAGCAGATCAAACACTCCTAGTGTTTCAACTAAGATCCGTCAGCATATTTTGAAAAAATATATTGATAACTAACTTTAACATGCAACTGCTATAGCCGTTACTTAGATTTTATATATAATAGTATAAATTACATAATTAATGGTTTATAAAACATAAAATGATGTAATAATAAAATTGAGCATGAAACATTTAATATATGTTTCGTTATAGTATTTTACGTTATTGTTTTCTACACGAAATTCTAAATAATTTGTTACTTATAATAATAATAAAACAATTAAATAGTACAAATGGGTTGCAAATTTGAGAATTTTAAGCTGTACAGATGAGTTGCAAATTTGGGTAATACACTCTATCTGAATTTGTATTACGTATATAATAATAATTAAAAACATTTTACGTGTTGTTTAATTTTACTATAAAAATAATTGTGAATGATGATACTATTATATTGTAATATTCGGCCGTTTTGGTGAAGCAACGGTCCAACAATACTTGCATCTTTAAAATCAAATTAGTTGTGACAAAATTTTTTTAAAAAAAACTAATTAATTAATAATGAGAAAAAGACTAAAATCAAACCCATTTTGTGAGAGTACTTGACTAGGTAATTGATGAGACATCCAAAAAAATCCGTTTGAATAAAACATCTCAAGTCCACCAATTATACTCATTTTGTAACTGACTAGTACTTACTAAGACTAGTACTAATATTGATGAGGGACATCAGATTTTTTTTATTAAATGAGATTTAATAAAATATTTGGGATCCGTTTCATTCAAGTCCACCAATTATACTCATTTTCCCATCATTGTGACTGCAGGGAAATGTAGAGAGAGAAAGAAAACTCATTTGATCATGGCTTTTCCCATCATTGTGACCGCAGGGAAATAGTAGATCTTTTTTATTTTGGGTTTGTTTTGTTATTTGTAATTAATGAATCATCTTATACGATGATGATGATGCAGCAAATATATATATAGATAATGAAAAGGTTAATATTATTCAATCCTTCATTTTGAAGATGAAAATGAAAAACCATTGGAGAAGATTTCTTCATTTTCAAAATGAAGGAAAAAGTAAAATTTGAATCACCATTAGAGATGTTATGCATAAGGTTAAAAAAAAAAGCAAACATATCTCAATATTCCAACAATTCAAATATAACTTCATCTAGTTAGACAATTTTTAAGAAAAACATAACACTATATGAATTTAATCGATAAATATAGCTCTTACGGTTTCTTATCGTATATTTTTATATTATATTTATGCAATATTACTAATCGTCATGACCGATGTATGAATATACCATATACTCTTTTTTTATAGGTTCAATAATTTATATGTGTTTTTAAAATTAGAATCCTAATATATACGGTAAAATATATCTTTATTTTATTTTATAGATGATTCAATTATTTACAAAAATATAATAAAAACAAGGGAAGATATACGATAATTACAAATGAGTAATAGGAAATAGTTGGAAAGGAAAATAGGAAGAGAGAAATAAAGTGAAAATGGAAGAGATAGAGAAAAAAAAATATTGGTTAGATTTTTATGAAATATTTCTAACTATCCAAAAAATACTCCCTCTGTATTTGAAAAAATGTCGTTTCAACTGTTTTTGGGTGAATTAAGAAAGGGCACAGAATTACAAAACTAACCTTATGAGAAACGATTATTTACAATTATATTTTATATTTTTGAAATCAATTAAGAAAGGGCACAGAATTTTATGAAAATCGATTCGTATCTGTAGTTTTGGTAATTTAGACTGATTAATTATGATCAATTAATTGGGGGTAATTTAGGAAATTTTATGCAAAAGTTGTTAAAATGACAACTAATTAAAAACACAGAAAAAAGGCTAGAACGACATTTATTCAAATACGGAGGGAGTAGTTATTAAATGATATACACCATAATTATTCTATGAAATAATTAGAAGAGAAAGAGAGTACAAATGGAAGAGAAAGAGAAAAAATGAAATTTACGGCTAGTTTTTTTATGGAATGTTTCTAACTATCTAAAACAATAGTTATTAAATGATATACATCATAATTACTCTAATAAGTGGGTGTTATTAGATAATGGATTTTAATAGAGTATAACTCTAACCCAACTCTATTGTTATTCAATCACTAATTTTAAATATTTTACTCAAATCAAGTGTTATTAGTTTTTAGAATTGTAATATCCTCATTAAAAGATTTTAAAATCAAGTGTTATTGTTCTTACATTTATAATGTTTATTATAAAAGAGTTCTAAATCAAGTGTTATTGGTTCTCATATTTACAATGATCAATTAAAGTTCTCTGTTATTCATGTTTGGTAGAATTTCACAGATGATTTTATTTGAAAAGATTTGAATGAATCTGAAACTGATTTCATGTATAAATTATGGCAATCAAAATTCAACATTCTACCCTAAGATTTCAAAATCCTATTTATGATTATAAACAAAAATTCTATTTTTTCCTTTCAAATAAAATATGTAGGTCTTTATTTTCTTCTCTAGATCTCTCTCTCCATCCTTTTCACTTTCACGGTAATCATTGTATTCTCTCTATCTCCATATTTTATTTTTCAATTTTTTATATTAAGATATTTGATTATAACCTAGTAAGACGTTATAGTACGTTATAGTCATAACTAATTAGTCATATCTCCCTCTTTTTTGGTTTAATTAGATCCCACGACTATTCTAACATAGTAACATGATATATATACATTACACATCCGTAATATTTTTTATACTGAATTGAAGCAATCATTTGTTATATAATTCAATTATATTGTTCAAAACTAAATGATATCATGTGTCATTGTAAATACACTGCCACGAATATGTCAAATGAATAATGACTCAGTCACAATGAATCCAGTTTTTAAAATTCTGATGACCTTTTAAATCTAATGGAGTTGATTTCAACTTATACAATCAATAACACCTCCGGTTTTTAAAATTCTCATGTGTCGTGATGAAAGTCCAACAATATCCAACGCCTAATTTGTTCCAAAAAAATATATTAAGAAATTACGCATTATAAGTTTAACTTATATTTTCTCGATCTCGTTAATTTTAAGTTTCACATGTGTGAATTGCTTTTGAGAAGGTATTATTATATTATATTTTCAGTAACACTTCAACGATTAATATCATACTAATTTTATGTTCGTTTTTATTTTTAGTTTAGAAAACGTTTATAAAGTTCTAAACATATACATGCAAACTCGTATATGCTATTTTTTTTCTCTTTTCCTTTCTAAATTAATTGGAAATAAAATGAGTCGTAGTTTTTGAATAAGGATTTTTATTCAAATTTAGAAAATAAGTCAATTTTTTAAATTCACTTATACCTTCATTTCTTTGTTAACTCATGGGTTCGTTCAAAACTATGTTGTATATGTTATTAATGATATTTTCAGCATTCATAACTATTTTTTTGGATATATTTCTACTTTTCTTTTAGGTTTTGTATTTTATATTGAAGAATATTATTCATGTTATATAGGCAAAAAAAAAATCAATTCTTTTAACGAATATAACAAACCATTTTCCAAAATGATTATTTTTGTATGAGTCATTACACTTCATTGATGACTCATGTGTTCGTTCAAAATCATGTTGTACATGTTATTGATGATCTTTTCAGCATTAAAAACTACTAGATTTACTCGCCCGCGCGTTGCGCGGGATATCAAATTTCAACTGGGTATAATACAAAATGTTAAGAATAATCATAATCATTTGAATTTTAAAAACTATATATATTCATACTTGTTTTACAAAACAATATACAACATAGAAATTATAAAATATATTTGGTAGGTATCGCGTAATAACAAAAGTTATATAAGATGAATCGGTCTCGGTAGTCATCAATAAATTTTTTTTTATCAAAAAAGAGAGTTAATTCCATAAACAAATCTTGTAAGTATAACTGTCTTGATGTTTTGACCTATTCGTACCTCATACTAAAAGTAAATGTGCTGAGTTTGAACATCAATTTATAAAAATATATAAACGTAATATTCATGTCGATTCAATAGGTTTGGAGAGCATAATTTACCTATTGAAGCAAGGCCATCATACCTGAAAGTTTTGACCAAATCATGAATGTCTTAATCTTATCTATCCTACTACGCTTACATGGCTCGACGATTTAACCCGATGTTGAATATGATAGTCTAGTTTACTAAACCAAACTATCCGATAATGCATACATATATCTGATGAATATCGTTAGTCATGTGCATACATATATCCGATGCTTC